TGGGTTAACAATGAAATCAACAACAACAAAAACCACAAAAAATACCTTGAGAGAAATATAAAACAAAATTACCCCAAATATATGGGACACAGCAAATGCAGTCCTACGAGGGAAATTCATAGCAATTCAGGCCTACCATAAAAAAAAAATCTCAAATAAGCCATCTAACCTTACACTTAAAGGAACTACAAAAAGGCCAATTCCAAAATGAGTGGAAGAAAGGAAATAATTAAGATCAAAGAGGGAAAAAAAAGACTAAAAATACACAAAAGATCAATGAAACCAAGAGCTGGTTCTTTGAGAAAACATAAATAAGACTGATAAACCTTCAACCAGACTCATCAAGAAAAAGAGCAGAGCAGTGCTGATAACACCAGTCTCCCCAGGCACCTTCACCATCACTAGGTGACCTAAAGAATTAATTCAAAAAATGAAACAAAAAGCAGACATGACCTTACCAACACAAAAGAAACATCCAAGCAATAAAGTGGAAGACTAATAACCACGATGTGGACATTGGAATGTTTACGATTATTCTTTACGAAACAAGTACAAAACGAGAATGTCAGCCAATATTTCCAGCAATTTTTCTCAAATGTCTGTACAGGAGACAGGAGAGCAACCTCCCCAGTTTCGGCAACCACTAGGTTTATATTTTTTTTCCTGGTTTTTACTGTTTTGGTAATATGAATTGAAAGAAGATATTAATACCACATGGGGAGAACCCCAACCAAAGAAATCTGAAATATACAGTAAATGCTTTTTTGTTCCCTTTTCTAGTTCATTTTGGATGCTGGTGCTAAACTTCCAAGTGTCGTGATTTAAAAAGAAATTTTATGCTCTTCTTATTTATTTCTAGATGAGGGGAGGATAACATTTTTGCTTTCTTATGCGACTCTCTGAAAATGTGCAGCATGAAGTTCCTCAAAAATAAAATATTTACCTTTGGGCTGGGGGGGGGCGTGGTGAGGGGGAAGACAGAGAGGACCCAAATAAATAAAATCAGAAATGAAAAAAGGATAAGTAACTACTGACACCACAGAAAATACTATACAAAACAATTATATGGCAACAAATTGGGCAATCTGAAAGAAATGGGTAACTTCCACGACTGAATCAAGAATAGAAAATCTGAACAGACCAATTACAATCAACAAAATTGAAGCAGAAATGCCTTAGAACTAAAAATTTATAGAGAACAAGTTTCTTAATTTTTTTTCTTTTGTCTTATGTCTGGAAGAATGAATAAGAATCTAGTCTAATGACAAATCTACCAACATTGTTGGTTTTGACAATACTACACTTTCAGTATTTGGTTTTGTATCTTTCATTGAAAATTTAAGATCTTTTGTTAAATATCCTTGTGAGTTTGCTTAGGTATCGTGATCCATTTTTTGGATATGGAGCTACCCTTACACAGCCACCCACCAAGGCTAAGAAACTGCTTCAGTCTCAGGCTTAAAAGTATGATGATATTTCATTTCCATTTCCAATTTTAAGTACTGTGCCTGAAGGAATTTTCTAAATAAACATTGGTTTAATGAATAATTGTTCCCTATGTCTTATCTTTTTTGTGGCCAGCTTTACCACATATATTTGGTATATAATCAGCAAATGTAAACAGATATAAAATTTAAAATACAGACGTACACGGAGAAAAATATTTTAAATGGCAAATGTAATTTCATATTTTCTAGAGTTCACCCTATCATCATTAATGACTTAGAGGCATTTTACTAGACCTATTCAATTTTTATGTGTATAAATTACAAATAGCTAAATATGAATATATTATTATCAACTTAGAAAAAATGTTATATTCAAGTATTTAATGAACTTTCCTGAATCTATTTTTTGCTATTCATTTTTTACGTGTACATTCAAATGACATATGTTAATTTAACTTATTGTAGCACACAAACATGTGTAGCATGCAATGAGACCTGAATACTGCAATGAAAACAGCAACTATAATCAATTTTGTTCACTGCAGTCACTATGTCAACTTTCAGTAGTAACAGTACTATAAATACTTTAACTCTAAAGTCAGAAAAAAAAATGTTTGTTTATAAAAACATGGATTACAAGTAAAAGGCATAAAACATCAATGGTGTATTATAGGATACTAGAGGCCCGGTGCACAAAAATTTGTGCACTTGGCGGGGGGGTCCCTCAGCCCAGCCTATGCCCTCTTGCAGTCTGGGACCCCTCAGATGATGT